TCTCTTCCTCAATGTTAGCAGAGCCCCGACATCTATGGGTTGTTTGTTGCTCGTTATGAACCAAGCTGTGAATTGCTCGGCGAGTTAAGCCCATCCATCTATTGAATCTTTCGGCAGACTGTCGAACCACTTCATAGTCGACTCCTCTAAGCTACTGGGAAAGATAGTGCAAAACAATGGCTCATTCTTCTGATGAATGGTCATAAGCTACCGGTAATGTCTGATGTAGGAGGTTGGATTGATTTTTCCATCATATAACTTAAAATTTAGGATGGTGAATTTGCTTGGGATCCAAGCTTTCTCAATCCACTTTGTAAAGGTGGAGCACTCTGTACCATCATCGTATTTTCCCGTAGCTCTCCTGGCTAGGTCCCTAGCCGATTTTTGCTCTAATCTCTTCAATCGATTGTTGAGCTCTTCGGTAATGAATTGCGTCCAAGAATTCTCATCTTGTCCTCGACGTTTTTTCTACTTTTACTCTTCTTCCATGGCGTTCTCTCTTCTTTCTCGCTTCTTTTTGGGACTCTCCCGTCGGCTTTTCTTGCTACGTCTCTCTCTCTTAGTCATTTCCTTCAATCTTGCTTTCAATTCTTTGTTTTCTTTTATTAGATCTCTTTCCCTAACATAGGACTTTTTGAACAATTTATCATGCGCGTCAAGTCGGTCTTGCAGGGACTAAACCAACTTTACCAGAGAGTGATTCTCCCTCTCGGCACGGAGGGATTCGCCATTGTCGGTGTCTTGCTAATTTTGGTGTTTGGACGGCCTGAAACTTGCTGAGGACAACTCGTCATCCTCACGGGGTTTAGTTGGGCTTGGGTTTATATCTACTCTGATGTTACTATCAGATGGAAGTGACACTCTATAGTTCGAATCAAAATCTCCCAAGTCCTGACTGCCTATAGGTGAGCTGATGACATTTCTTAGTCTCAACATTTGCTTTTTGTTTCGACTGATGTAAATCTTCCTACAGACAACGCCAAAAAATGTAAAAGGCAAAAAATGAGAGTTCCTCCTACAAAAATTGATAGATTGATATTTATGGTAAAAGGGTGCTTCTGAACTTGATCTTCCGATCTTCTCTTTCTTGCAAAATGAACAAACTGCTTAAGATCGAAGTGTTTCGATCGAAGGCATTCTGATGCTTAAATCAATAATGGGAATAAGTTAATTGCAAGAAGACAAGGAGAGTTCAACGTACCTTTCACCTAGGCTCCTTATGCCTTTTATAGATCCCTGTTTAGTTAGAGTTTCCATAATTTTTGATTCAAGGTGGTATACTTTTCTTCAATTAAGTGAATATGTTTGGGAAGTTTGTTGAGATTTCTCTAGCAATTCCCCCTACCGAGCCTATAATTATGTCAATTTGTTTAACCAGAATGCCTGAGTTATAGGTATCCATTCAACACCACATTTACTATTTGAAACAGCTTGGTTATAATTTGGATCGACCTCTACTCTTCGTTACCGAAATTACTAAACAGCTCGACTTCAGTCTTGTTGATGACTTTCTCACGTGACTGGTCTTGTCACTCGGATGTAAGATCATTTAATGTAGGTGCACGTATTATAAAGGGAGTCACCCTCTTCATTTATTAAATTAATTTTTAATTTATAAAAAAAATATGAGCATTAGTTCGATTAGGTGATAATTAAAATTTAAACATAAAATTGAACATTAAATTGTTTATTCACAAATTATATGAGTCGACATAAAAACGACACAAAAATAATAAATCAATACGACACGACACAATTGATTAACACATGTTGGATTAGGATTAACTAATTTTTAACACGAACTCCAAATAACACAATACAACATAACATGATTAACACTCCTAAATTAAACTTCTTCTATTCTAGAATTGTTAGAATTACAAAAAGGGATCCGAATCTAATTAGACATTTATTCGAATAATGAATAATCTTAAAAGTCGTCCTTAAAACTGCAAATCATAAAATACTTCTTTATACCTTTTCCTAACTAATTCTATCATGGTTTTTGTAATTAACCCTCGGTGGCGGCCCTAAACGTCATCTAGATGACACCACGAAACTTGACGAGCAACCAATCAATAAAGCACACGTAAGCAATCGTGTAACGTGTCCTTTTTAAGCACGCGTAGAAAAAGGGGCCGTGTTGGGTCGCCGAACTGGGTCTTATTTTATTTTTGATAAAAATAGAATATGTATATGTAAATTTAGAAGATATTTTTATAATATTACAATTAGGCGAACTCAAAAGGGCCAACAAATTCAAATTTAAGCACCACTTATAAAGCGTCTAATCTTTAGAACAGTGAATAACAACTTATCACTCAATTGGGCCTTACTTATAAGTACGGAAAAATGCCCCCACGTCGAGAAAGTTTTTATTATGTGAAGTAATGTACATTAATAATAAAGAACTTATATTATTAATAAAAAATACAAAGCACTAATTAAACAATATACATTTTAAATAAATAACTATCACCTATCATTTCATCAAATTTTTTTTAAAAAAAATTAATTTATATGTCGCACAACTTAATTATGTGATGCTTTTTATTAAGTGTGTACCCATATCACCAAAAAATATTCAATGTAATAGTGATATCATATTAATATTAATGATATAGTACCATTAACAAATAATAAACTTTAATGTTCCGTTTGGTAGGAAAGATAGAAAGTAAGGAGCATAAAAAATAGGAAGGACACACTTTCTATCATTAAAGGAAAAAAAAAATTGAATGATACATTTTTCTTCTTTTGTATTTGATTAGATGGATGAAAAATAAAAACGAATAATTTTATTTTTAATGCCGACTAACATTACGAGTGACAATCGTCGTGTCGTTTTAGTTTCGTTTTGAGTCATTCCGAGTTTGTGTCAAACATTAGTTAATCCTAACTTAACTTATTCAACTAATTGTATCGTGTCGAGTTACGAGTTGACCTATTTAATTTTATATCGTATTCGTGTTCGTGTTAACCCACATAATCATTAATATTTTATTTTCACTTAATTATTCTATTTTCTTGTTAAATTATTTATGTTAAATAAAAAATTTAATGTTAATATTCTATTTTCATTTAATTACATTCATGTTAATATTTTTTCTACAAACTAAAAATTAACTTAAATAAATATAATAATAATAAGTAAATATATATATATTATATAATAATTATGTTAGTGTTTAGTAAATAGTTACAAATAATTAATATTTTATGACTATAATACTAATTAAACATGTTAATTTCATGTTAATTTCGTATTACCAAACAAACGAGAAAATATAGAAAGTGTGTTATTTTTAAATAAACGGGATAAATGTGTCAATTTTGAGTTTGACTAGTTGAACTGAATATAAGAATTTTATATTTTTTGTTCACGTGTCAGACCATTTTTAAGTTCGTGTCATAAAATTCGTGTCGAGTTCAAGTCAAAAATTTTGACCCCTAATTAAGATGGAAAAAATATTTTTTAATTTTAATTTTAAATTTTATTTTTAAAATTTTATATAT